CACTTCCCTCCATCAACCCATAGTTTGTTCTGTATCGTTAAGAGTCTCTTTTATGTTTTGCCTGTCTCTTTTTTTTCTTCTGTGTTCATCTGTTTTGTTTCTTAAATTTCACATGAGTGAAATCATATGGTATTTGTCTTTCTCTGACCAACTTAAGTCACTTAGCTTTTGATGGACATTTGGGCTCCACATTTCTTTCTTTTGTTTGTCTTTTGCAACCTCCCTCTTGCTATTTTCTTCTCTCCATGTGAGATGTCAGTAGTGTCTGAAAGGGGACTCCAGAGAAATTAAGTTTGGACAAGCCACACCCTGTCCCCGGCTCTGGGCTGTTACAGGGAAGGCAGCATTAGGATGTGAGGGGAAGAAATTATGGAGGCAGCCCCTGATTTCTCTGTGCCTACCTGCTCTCACCCCCCACAGGGAATGCCATCCAGGCCTTTGGCAACGGCACGGATGTGAACCTCTCCCCTAAAAGCCCCTCATTCCAGGCCACGCAGGCCCCTCGGGTGGAGAAAACACCTTCTTTGCCAGATGACCTCAGTGATAGCACCAGCCTGGGGACCAGCGTCATCACCACCTGCACATCTGTCCAGGTGAGGGAACACGGCTCTGCAACTGGGGAGGGCAGGCTGAAGTCATAGAGAAACACCAGGACATGAGAGGCGGGTGTGGGAAATTAGCTCACTGGGGATCAGGGATGGGACTGGCAAGTTCTTGCCCTTGGGTCAGGACCCAAGAGGCAGGGAACAGCTGTTGGGGGCTAGTTTTTTTGTGCCTACATTCCCTAGGCATTCACCTGACAAGTAGGAAGCACTGGATTGTGCTACAGAACACGGGGTGCCAGGGAAATGGAATGGTTAACACATACTAACCATCTGCTAATTACCAGGTGTTATGCTAGCAGATTCTCTGCCTACTTCACTGAATTTTCACAAAGTGAGGTATTGGTCTTCATGTATTATACACAGGAAACTGACCCAAGAAGAAGTTTAGGTAACATACCCAAGGTCATACAGCCAGTTAGTGGTAGAATAAGATTTCAAACCTACGTCAGACCCCAAAATCCATGATGTTCATTTGTTTGTCCATCTGTCCATCCACCTAGTCATCGAACATGTATTATGTATGCGTTATGTGCCAGGACTTATGTGAGATGTGAGGGAGACTTTGGTGAGTAAAACTGATAGTGTCCTGGGTTTTGTGGTCCTTACGGTCTTGTTCAGGGTCAAACAATTCAACAAGCATCAGGCATGGACTGGGTTCAGTGCCACAATAGGGGACACATGTGGCACTATGGGGGCACGTCCTAGGGCTCCCCACTCAGCTTTTTCTCTCTGTTGGGCTACCCTCCTGCCATCATGCCATTTGCTACAGTAGATTCTTTGCTTAGGCAGTTGGATCTAGTCAGAACACACACACACACACACACACACACACACACACTCACACACATACACACACTCACCCACAGTACACCCACTCACCCACATACATACACCCCCACACACCACACCCCCCCCCCACCTATACACTCTTACACTCACATACATACATACACTGATACATATACACACACAGTACAGCCACTCATACACACACGTACATACATATATACACACACCCACACTCATTCACAACACCCACAACTCTCACATTCACATACTCTCACATAATACACTCACTCATACACTCATACCCACATGTATACTCACATACACACTTTCTCACACTCATACACACACACCCCTAGAACAAAGAGTGTAAAAGAGGACTGACCCCATGCAGAGTATCGGAGCAGAGGAAGGAGGGAACAGCAAGGTTGAGGGTGTTGGGGTACAGTGAGGGAGTTGGGCCTAGGATTGCCAAGAAGGTTGGGGGCAGCAGGGGGCATAGCCTGAGTGGGTGAGGGGGCAGGGTTATCAAGGCCTGGCTATGTGCGAGGCAGTGAAGACGCCAGGCTAAGTTGGGTGTCATGCTCGAGGGATCAACAGTGCACATCTGCTACAAAGTTTTACTTGTGTACAACAAGGCAGTTCTGAGACCTGGCATACAGCGATGTGACTGTAGCTGACAGTATCGTATTATGAAATATGTTGATTGGCATGTGGTAAATATTTCACGGTGTGTGTGCCCATATATTGGGTCATCAGGTTGTACACTGTGAATACATGCAATGTTTGATGGTCAATTACAACCTCGGTAAGGCTGGAAAAAACCCCAGTGGGCATTCCTGGTGCCAGGATGAGGACCTGAGCAGGGACCCATTGTACCACAGGAGCTGGGGTGGGTGCCTGTCCTGGTTGGGAAGCCTACCCCCCCTGCCCTCCCTGGTGGGCTTCTCTGTACTGAACAGCTGACCTCCAGGTATCCTCCTGTTAGGCTCAGCATGGGCTCTTCCATGCCCTGCGCCCCTCCATCAGGCTGCTCCTCCAGATCCCAGCCGAGGAGTCCGTGTCACCCTCGGGCAGCTCCTAATTACACTAGCCACGCTTGAGTGGCTGTGGGCAGGGGCTTGGGGGCCCGCTGCACAGACAGTTGCCAGCTCAATTTCATGCTAGAGTGGCAGGCAGCTCGGCGGTCAGGGCTGGGCCACCTGTCAGGTGACCATGCTCTGGCATGGTCCACATGTCCCTTGGGGCACCACCAGCCTCCCTGAGCTCCTCGGGGCAGGCTTACAAAGGGAAGTGCTGATTCAGCAGGTGGCTGTGGATCTTTCCTGAGGCTCTTACTGTAGCTTGACTCACCGTGGGTGTGGAAGAGTTCAAGGGTGTGGTCTCTTGCCCTCACTGCAGCCCACTCAGCCACTCAGTGCCTGGTGGCTCTGACTCCTTTTTAAAAATTTTCCCTCTATTCCCTCGGCATTTTGCTAAAACTGTTGCCTGGTTTCTTTTAGCCCCAGCCTGGTTTTCTTCAGATTCACCACGTGAAAGTGCTTGCAGACAGAGGAGCACTCTGAATGCAGGGGCCCGAGCTGGGGAGGCTGACTAGCAGGGGGCTCCCCAGGCCTGGCCTCAGGGACTGCCCACTCACAGTCTACTGACTGTGTCACTCTGGGCGGGACAGCTGAGATTGGCCATTCCAGGAGAAAAAGAAGAGATGTAGACCCTCAGAGGGGGCCTGCCAACCATCTTCCTGGTTCCTTCTCACTGAAACTGAAGGGGAATGGCCTGATTCTGTTTTAATCACATCTTGTTTGGTGAGAACCTACTACTCTATGCCTGATGCTGGGAGTGCAAGGGGAATAAATCCTCATCCCTGCCCTCAGCCTGGCTAAAGGCTGGCATGGGTGGTTTGTCCCCACACCCTCTCCCTCAGCTCTCCTGGGCTGGAAGGGGCTCCATGGTGGCCTTTGTGGGGCCTTGGGAGTGACAGCAACCTACAACTACAGAAGGGAGTCTTTACTCCACTCAGGAAGCTGAGGCCAGGGTGGGAGGGAGGGTAGAGGAGGCTGTGCACCCTACACACCCCCTGGAGAGAAAAGCAAGGTCTTTACTTATTACCTCTGTCCTCCTCCCCATTAATAGGCCCAAGCCCTTGGGAAAGCCTTAGAGACCCCCTTCACTGACCCAGAGATGGCAGCGAGTTGGGGATCCCACATAAGTGATTGGACATTAGGACAAGAGGGCCTTTTGACATCTCCTTCTCAAGCCCCAAAGTATGGAAGCTTGGTAAGGACAGTAATTTGTTCAGAGCCCCCAGCCCCCAGCTCCCAAACAGTTTCCTCTGGCTGTATTGCACTGGGTCCTCCCCTAGATCTGCTACCCCAGAGGGCTTTCCCATGGTGGGGTTTGGGGTCTTCAACTGGAACCCTTTTCCTCATCATAGAGCTGCTACACAAAAACCTGGGTGTCTCAGCCACCCAGGAGCCAGGAGCCAGCAGGCCCCTGAGTTGGCCTGCGTCTGGGCATCTTTGATGCTGTTTTGAGTCCTGCTCTCATGTTTCCATTTCTGGCTGTGGTCACTGCTTCAGGCAGCCTTACCTTCCTGGAACTGTTTGAAACTTGGAGAAAGCATGGCAATATCTGCAAAATCGTCTCTCCCCCTCCCTTCTGGCCTTGCCTGTATCTGTAGGTAAACACACCCCTGTGTGAATTCCCTCCCTGATCTGTAGGCGGCAGGTCAGGCTTGAACTCCCATCGCACAGCCAGGCTGTCCCATGGCATAGGCTGCAGTGAGCAGGTTGCTGGCCTGTGCACTGGTCAGTCCTCGGAGTGAAGAGCCTGTCCCTCTCTCTGCTTGGGGAATCCTGTTTGGTTTCCCCTTTTGGCGTGTTCCCCTGACTCTGCTCCTGCTTTACCTCACTTGAGCCCCCATCACGATGTGCCCTGCTCCATCCCTGATGGACAGAGGCTGCCTCTCACCCTCCTTGTTGCCCTGTGGACCCCAGTGCTCAGTGCATGGCATTGAGTAGGTGTTCTAGACAGGTTGAGGGAAGAACCCAGAGTTCCTGGTTCATCGGGTCTGTTGGAACTTCCTGCTCTCCATTCGAGAATGGGTTCTGAGTGCCTTATTGCTTGCAGACAGCTTTGTGCAGCTTACCTCCTTCTCACAGATGCTGTCTGCATGCCATGAGGGTAGGCAGGTGGAGAGGTCTTTCTATGGAGGATGCAGGAAGATTGGTTAGAAGGTTCTTTTGTCACATGACCAGTGGTGCAGTGAGGGGGGTGGTGGGGAGACTGGCAGTGGGCTCTTGCTTTCTCTGGTCATGGTTTGTTTCAGTGTCCTTGGCATTTCCTGTGGTTTGCTCTGAGCCACTTTGCAGGGACCCATCAGATCAACTGGGGTTTCACCTTTCCCAGGGCTGCAGATCCCTGGCAACACAGCCCCCTTTGCTCTTTTGGTCTCTACCAGCCAGTTTTTGCTTTCCCCCTTCATCCTACCCATCACACCTGGTGGAATTAGAAATGAATTTGGAGGGGTTGATGCAGCCCCCCCCTCAACACACCTGCGGTAGGCTCAGCAGCCTGCAGACACTTTCATCCTTTCCTCATCCCAGTGTGCAGGCCTGTGGGCATCAGAGTGGGGGACTGAGAGGCCTGTCAGTGTGTTGTAGGTCTATCAGGCATATAGTTCTGATATACAAATATGGCAGGTTTCAAAGTTTTGAATGAGTTGAATGCATTCCTTCTTTTCTTCCCTTCTTCTGGCTTCCCTTATAGTCATTCATTTATTTGCCCATCAGTGCATTCATTCATTACTCAGTGTAGATTCTTCCTGCATGTTCTCTGTTCCAGGTTCTGAGGCTGACAGCTCACCAGGGCCAGTACCTTGGTCCCATACTGGTAGGATGGACAGGATGCACACTCAGATTATTGGTGGGGAGGAAGCAATTGGCACCCTAGGAAGGTGGATAAAGTGACACGGGGCCCAGAGGACGGAGGGCTGCTCTGTACTGGGAGTGGGGACAGAGGACTCATGGGCAGAGTAAACCCTGCTGCTGGGCCTGGAAGAACAGGGATTGCTGAGTATGTGGAGACATGGAATTGGAGTAGAGTGGGCAGAGGGGCTCGTGGGAGTGAGGACATGGAGTCAGCATAGCACAGAACAGGTCCAGTAGGGGAATCTGTTGGCCATATCTGGCCTGCTGCCTGTTTGGATAAATCAGGTTTTATTGGAATACAGCCACACCCCCTTGTTTACATATTTTCCATGTGCTACAGGCAGAGTTGCCTAAAATACTAACTTTCCTGGCCCTTTGCAGAAAATGTTTGCCTGCCCTGGTCTAGAGGAAGAGCAGGCCCTGGGTTGGGTGAGAACAGGGATGGGAATGCAGTCTGGTGAGCAGACTGAAACACGGGCTTTGGAGGGGCCATCAAAGGCTTTGGACTGGGGAACGTGCCGATGGGAAGATGAGCGCTGTGATCTGGGAAGATTGTGACAGCAGGTAGAGATTGATTGGCAAGGGAGACGTGCTTGCAGGTGTGTTTGATCTTTGCCATAATCGATAGTCATAGGAGGCAAGATGGAAGCGTTGCGCCAGGGGTGGCAGGTAGCGGAGGGGAAGAGGAATGAGTTACTGGGTGGGCCTGCCAGGAGGAAGGCTGCCGAGGACACTGAGATTTGGGGGTGGGGCCAGGACCAGAAGCAGGGGACACGGTTTTCCCATGGACGCAACACTGGGCTTCGTCCCTAGCAGCTGGGCTAAGTCAGCAAGGACCTGGGACTGCCAGACCTGGCTTAGGGACTGGGAGACAGAGGTGGGCAAGGAAGAGAGGAAGATAATAATTCTTTCAACTTCCTTTTGCCAGAGGGCAAAAAACCCCTCTGGGAGAAATTTCTAGAAGGATGAAGCTTACCTTTGCTGCCTTTCTTCCACTGTGTCTGTGCCCCTTCCCTCATTCAAGTCCCCCAGTGCCGTCTGCTTCTTTCATACTTCTGGAGGCCCTCTGTAGTACAGCCAAGGACACAAAGCCCCTGTACCCACCTTTCTGTCACATGGATTTGCTGTTAAAAGCCCTGCCTCCTGCCATCCTTGCAGTCCAGACCTGTGCCCTTTGGGACACTAACCCAACAGTGCCTGAGCTTGCCTTGAAGGGAGGAGAGTCTCAGAGTAGTGATGGAAGCAGGACAGGGGTGAGCAACTCACCTCTATTCCCATAAACTTGTTCCATCGGAGTCCAAGAAAATTGGGTGAGATGGGCATTGTGGGTGGCCTTAGGGGGGCATGGCCTCAGAGGGCAGCCTGCAACCTGTGGGATTTGGGGAGGGAGCAGCCTCTTCTCCTGCTCCCATTTACTTAACCGGTGCTGAGATGACTGTGTGAATGTTTATTTGTCTCATTAGGGTGTGAGCAGAGCTGTGACTCATTCATCTTTAGAACCCCTTGTGGGAGCAGTGGGGGAAAGTTAATGGTGAGGGAGGGAGGCAGTGAATCTGAGCCACTGGTGGTTTTGCCATTAAGTAGTGCAACCTCCTCTCTGCACCTTGCCCATATGCTGCTTTCAGAAAAGGTCAGCCGATGGGCAAACCCCCGCACTGCTCTGTGTGGCCGGAGCTGTGTGGGGGTCTCAGGTTTGCCACTGGGGAGATTACTGCAGCCTTCACTGTCTGCTCTGTGTCTGCTGGAAGTCAGGTGCTGGGGCAGAGACTGCTCCATGTGCCGTGGGGTAGGGCTGAGGTAGCCCCAGGCTAAGGCTGACCCTGGGTTTCACCTCACAGCCCCTTCCTGGGCCCTTCCTGCATTTCTCATAGGCTCTGCCTTTGAATGCAAAACTAAGCTTGGCTCAGCCTCGTGCCTTGTGGAATTGAGGAGCCCTTACAGGTGTGTGGAGCTTTGCTGTGCCATGTGCACTGTCTCATGTAATCATCACAGTGGGTCAGTGATGTGCGTTTGTCTATTCCCTATTTTATAGATGAGAGAATGGATGTTCCAGTAGATGAAGTGACTTTCCCGGGTCACTGGATAAAGAAGGCTTGAGCCCGGGTCTCTGGTCTCTCAGGCTCTTCTTCCTTGGATCCAGGGAATTGTCCTGTGGGGATGGACGCCAAAAATTAAGACCCTTTGATCTAAAAGGGAAAGGCTGCATGGGTCTGTGAGGATAAAAATCTGTAAGCTAGATTTCACAGCACTTGAAGGAAGTACTTTTGGACAGCGAGAAGAAGCTCAGGATGTCACCTGGGCATTCAGCACACATTCAGTGTGTGGCTGGTGGCCCTGGAGCCTGCTGGACTGACATGTCATCAGTGCAGAGGGACATAGGTGAATGCTGTGGATGCTGGATATACAGTGGGTCACATGGGGTACAGGGAGAGGCCCTATCCCTGATCTTCATGGAGGCCAGTCCTTTTCTCCCACTACAGTCGCTGTGGCACCTGTCAGAGACCAGCAAGCAAGGATTGGATTGCCTTGGGGCTGGCCCAGGGGTGTGTGTCACTTTCTCTTGTTGATATGGGTCAGATGAGAGGATGAAGGCTCCTCCTCTGCTTCTTCCTCTCCTCCTGTTACCCTCCTTCTCCTGTGGCCCCTCCCTTCCTCTCTGTCCCCTGCCCCCTTCTCCCCTCTGTCCTCCCTGCTCCCCCCAAAACCCCCAAACTCTCTGCATGTGCTCTCCTAGGGTGCTGCCTCTCCTTTTTCTCTCTGTTCCCTTCCTCTCTTGATCCTTTCCTCTGCTCCTCCCCCTCTCTTTTTTCCTTGAATATTTGCCAACAGCCCCCTCTCCTCTCTTCTAAGAGGAGCCTGTCAAGTCTGCTCACTCTGAGGAGCAAAATCCAGCCATAAGCCAGCTGCTCCAGGTGAGATCTGTGTTCAGATCTCCCCTCCACCCCACTGCTTTAATTCTAAGTCCTGGTGCTCCTCTGCTTTGCTGGCTTCTCTCTGTGTGACTTGGCCTGGGGCTCAGCCTTCCAGAGCCAGCGGTGGCCAGGCCTGTGTCGAGGACCCATCACAGAAGGTTGTACTGCAAGGCCCTAGAGGTCACTTAGTTTAGTTCTTTTCTGAAACCTGATTTATTTTTAAGTAGTAGGCTGTTTTTTAAAATACTTCTTGTGTATAGCTCCAACATCTAGAACAAATAAAATCAGAGTTGCTTTGGTTGAAGTGGGGGTGAGAACACTCATCCTGGCTGTTTGATGCAACACAGACACGTTCCATATTTAGTGGCACTGGGGGAGGGGAATACACAGGAAGAGGACATGGGCCTGGAGACAGAGACCTGCCACACCTGGAACCCATGATACCTGGAAAGAATGCCAGGAAAAGTGGGTGTTGGGTCTTGTGGCATAGGATATCAGAAGTGCTGTGAATTGCTCAGGGGGGTGACCGAGGGAGGATTGTGTAGATGAGGGCAGTTGAATGGAAGATAGTGGTGACAGTGCAGCCCCTGGGATGGGGTGGGCAGGCTCTGTCCAGCAGTGACCTCCCACAGGCCTGGCTGGAGCTGCACTTAGTCTGTGGCAGTAGAATCCAGTCCTTGGGTTCCAAAGGGCCCTTCTTCAGGGACAAAGGTGGGTAGCATGGTAGGCTTGGATCTTGGCACCTGAAGTCATGGGCACTGTGGTCTTGAACAAGATCTTCCTGGGTCAGGTCCCTGGTTCCATTCCCATTGTGCTCATCATCACCGTGGTCATATCTCCATGATTGGGAGTGACTTGGATTTTGGCTGGCCTCTGTGTGACAGCTGGGGCCTTGTTTTGCTGACCAGATGCCCAGGGTGGTAGATTGCCTATGATGTTTAAGGGATTATTGATACTTCTGGCCAAGAGCAGTGATTTAGGAATAATTTCTTGGGCTTCCTGGTGCTTATGGTGGCCAGACCTTCCCCACAAGTGCATTGGGAACCAAGCCATTTGAAGCCAGGGTAGAAACACCATGTCCCCCAGCTGGTTCCCATGGATCATTATTATGATGATAACAAAGGACACTTCCTCTTGCTCACCCTCTGGTCCTGCATCCAAGTGGTTATGCCAGGAGTAGAGAATCCTAGAATCATCAGTAGGCCAGCCTTCCTTTCTCATTCATCACCTCGGACAACCAAGCTCCCAGGTGCCCACATCTGTTTAGGGTGGAATGGCCAATGCCTGGCACTATTGCCATATGTCTTCCTACCATGCACCAGTGACAGACATCACTAATCAATTACAGTTCTCTTCCCCACAAGCCCAGATAAGGCTTATGAGCTTTTTGGAGCTGGCACTTGCATGCTGGTTCTGATATATGGCATTCATTCATTGAGTCACGGTTTCATGCATCTAGTAAAGCATTTACTGAGCTGGTGTTAATAAGCCAGACACTGCTTAGTGCAAGGAAAATGAGCCATGGTCCCTGCCCTGTCAAGAGGAGTTTTGAGTATAGTAGACAAACATGCAAATGTCTTGTAATTATTCTATCATGGTATAAGTTGAAAGCAGAGTTAGGAATCCCTTCTCCAGGAGCCTAAGGGGGACAGGACCTAAGTGCTGATGGTGTGAGAAAGGGACCAGGTCTTTTTGCTACACGGGATTGAGCCAGCACTCTTCATGTGAACCTTGTGCTTAATGATGGCAATGGTGGATGGTGGGGCCATGGACTCTTTGGTCTTATTCAAGTCATGGGACAAAGCTTGGCCAGAGACCCAGCTCTGGTAGCCCATCCTTACTAGCACCTTCTCTTCCACAGGAACAGGGGCTAAAACCCAATAACTCCAAAGAGTTAAGCATGTGCTTCACAGAGGTGAGTGAAGGGCAGAGTGGGGGATGGCTGCAGGGGACTGGGCTAGAAGGGGGTGTTTCCTAGGTGAGTCTCAGACTCTGAGCCCCCAGATCCCATCGCATGAGCTTCTGGCCCACTTAGACTTGGGTGGGTGCTCACTGCACTGGGGGTGCAGGGTCGGAGGCTGCAGCCAGGGGCCTTGGCTGTCTCCTTGGGTGAGACACAAACAGCTGCTCTGAGCAGAAGCCCTCTTAAGCCCTCCTGACTCTTTATGACAACTGTCTTGAGTACCTACTCTGTGCTGGTTCTGTGATATTGAGGAGATTGGGAGATGGGAAAAGACACAGTCCCTTCCTAAAAGGAGCCCCAAAACAGGAGTGTATCTATGACTCCATATATAGTGTGTGTAGGTATTTATATGTATGTATGTGCGTGTGTGTGTGTATACACACACACTCTCCCATATATATATATAGAGAGAGAGAGAGAGAAAGAGTGTGTCTATATATATATCTATATATATATATAGAGAGAGAGATATATACATAGAGAGAGAGAGAGAGAGAGAGAGAGAGGAAAAGAAGTATAAGCTCCTAGAGGAGAGTGCTCAGACAGAGATGTGTAGGGAAGAAGCTTCATGGAGCAGGGAGATTCAAAGACATTTAGGAACAGGGGCCTTGTTCCTAAAGCTCTTGTTCCACAGAGCTTCTCCCTCCTCTCCTCTCAGGAAGCAGGTGCCTGTGGACCCCGAGAGCTCCTTCCTGAGACCTTAGGTACCATGCTCCTCCTCTCTGGTCTGTGTCCACAGACCCTCTTCCTCACTTGGCAGTGTCAACCCTTTTCCCTGGGGACTGCTGCCCAGTCTCCTGGAGCCTGGGGCTCAGCTCAGCTCAGCTCTGTGGAAGCCTAGCTCCACCTGCGGGTGAGCACAGAGCAGGGTCCCCTGGGTGGATGGGGCGGGCAGGGGCTCAAGGACTCCACTTCTCGAGTCCTTTCCTTTGCCTGATCCCAGCCCTACTGACTCCTTTGTTTTTCTGTCTTTTGTTGTGCTCTTTGCTTCTGTCTCCCCTTGTGTCATGGCTGCAGCTCACGACCAATATCATCCCAGGGAGTAACAAGGTGATCAAACCTAACTCAGGCCCCTGCAGAGCCAGACCGTCGGCTGCCTTGACCGCTGTCTCCTTCCTGATGCTGAAGCTGGCCTTGTAGGCTCTGGGACCCATGTCGGGGGATTTCCGGAAACTACGCAGATGAGAACACCCGCCTGGCAACATGGAAACACACACACACACACACACACACACACACACACACACATCTTGCAAAAAAAAATTTTTCCCCACCTTGTCTCTGAACCTGTCTCCTCCCAGATTTCTTCTCTGGAGAAGTTTTTCTAAACCAAACAGACAAGTAGGTGGGCAGCCTGAGAGCTGGCCTAGAGGTCCCTCGGCAAGGGAAACCCAGTGCTGAGGAGGGTGCGGTCTGTGGGAAATGCTCTTCTGCCTCCTTCTGGTGTTTTCTTCTCTGGACCTCGCTGACATAAAAGATGACACCCTGGGTGGGCCTTTTGAGGGACTGAACCAAAGATGTGAACTGGGGCCAGGGATCCCCACTGGCGGCTTGGCAGAGGGCATCGGGCAGCAAAGCAGCCAGGCTGGCTGCTGGGGGTCCAGCTGGGCACCTCAGCACCTCCACTCGGTTTCGAGCATGGAGTTTGTTTTGTGCTCTCTGTCTGCATCTGAACTGAGAACCCCAGTGAGCTGACAGGAGGTGTACCAGGCCCTCCGACTGTGGTATGGAGGAAGTACTGGGGCCAGCTCCAGGGGGCTTGGGAGCTCAGCCCTCTGGGGACATCCCCTTGGGCAGAGGGAGCAAAGCTTGGGCACCAGCTCAAGGCTGCTGCTTCCTGCTTGGTGGCAGGAATTTTGAAATCAAAGAGAAATGATCCGTCATTGGCTCTTTTGGTTTCTTGTGGGTTCATTTGGTGGGTCTCCCACCAGGGAGAGGGGCAGAAGAAAATATAAGGACACCTGCTGGCACCAGTCAATTGGTCAGCATGCCTTCTCTCCTCCTCTCGGCCCCCTGTTCCTCTTTTCCACATTCTCTCCTCATTTGTGACAAGCCAGCCTAACTGTATGTACATAACACGACTCCTTTCTCAACATATATGTATATATAGATCCATATACATATATTGTGTGGTTTCCCCTTTTTTCCTTTTTTTAAGAAACAAAACTATCGAAATAATACCCCAACAGATGAGCGAAAATGTATTATTGTAAAGTTTATTTTTTTTAACAATGTTGTCTATAATGGGAAAAAAAGGAGATTGACTCCCTGTGTCTCTGCCTCTGTCAGGCTGACTGGGCTGTGGAAGGGGGTTCCTGATCCGTATTCATACTTAGCCAAGGCTCCAATAAACATACTAGGAAGCAATTTGCCTTCTGCCTCCCTCCGGTGTGCCTTCTCCTGCTATTTTTTTCCTTGGCACAGTGCTGCCTCTTGGCTGCTTACCTGGGGTCCTGGTGGGCCTTGGAGAATGTGTGTGTATGTGGGGGGGGGGGACATGCACGCATGTGCACATGTGTCTCCATCTGTTATGTGTCTTTGATGTGGGTGATGGAGCTCCTTTAGGAAGTGGTTTTACACTTGGTGGGTCTCTGCGTCCCGGCTATGCTCAGCCTTCTGGGCCCTTCTTCACCCATCCTCCTCTACCTTCCCTTACCGATCAGTGCGAGTGCCTGTTGATCCCCACCTTGAAGAGAAAGAAAGTACCTGTGGGGACCTGGAGGGACAGGAGACCAGTTGATCTTGACACCTCGGGTATATTTTTGTTTTAAGGTTGTCTGTGTGGTCCTATTAAGTGGCCCATTGGTCTTATGTGGCATGAGGTGATATCTTCTCACTGGGACTCCTGGTTTATTTAAGGTATGTGATTATGAAGGCAGGGATCTGGTCTTCTGGGTCCTACTAGAGAAGGAAGATGACCATGATTCATCCCTTCTTCTCTTTTTCTCCATTTACCACCCGGGCTCCACCTGGACCCTGGGCCTGCTGTATTCCCTGGGGAGATTCTCCCTGGAGAAGGCTAGGAGGATGGCTGCTGGCCGAGTGTGTGTACGTGCACCCACGTGCAGGCTTGTGAGTGTTCATATGCATGTATGAGTGTGTGCACATGGCAAGATGAAGGAGGAAGACTGTCATGTGAGGGGGTGCTCCCACTGTCAGGGCTGCACTTGATCCCATCCTGTCGCCATTGGGAGATGAGATGCTGTTTTCTGCTCTCCCCAAATGGCTCTTGTTTCCAGTTGCTGAAATGTCGGCAACATTGGCCTATGGTGGTGAGTAGTGTGGTGTACAAGTTTCAGCCTGTGCATGGAGGACCAGTGGGCCAGTGAACTGTCTTCCCTAGCCACCACTGGTGTTACTGTGTGTGGAGGTGGCTGTGGAGTTTACTTGGGAATTCATGTTCTTTGTGAACAGCAAAGACTGGCTAACTTAAAAGGCTTTGGGGGGAAAAGGCTCAGAATCAGTGGAATGTGGGGGGACCAGGGGAGGGTACAGTGGGAACCAAAGGACATCTGAAGGGGCAGAAGGCATGATCTACAGGGTCAGCATGCTGCTGTCTCTGTGATGAATGACCACCAACTTGTCCAACCGGTTTACTGGGGCCTTGTGCCTACCTCCTGCCATACTTTTGTGAGAGAGGAGAATATCTCACATCTGGTATTCCTAATGTGATATAAACCCTTGGCTTGCATAATGAGGGAGAGAAGATTTCCCGAAAGGAACTGGAGGTGCCAGAATAGATGCAGGGCAGCTTTACTCTGCCTTAAAACCTCTCCCTGTCTAGGTATCACATAGCTGAAATTTTACCATGAAATATTCATTCCTTTGGTTGAGATGATTCCTGTTCCCTGTGATTCTCTCAAAATGTGTAAATAAAAGTGGGAAGAATAAAATGTTACTATCTTAATGCTAATTAGTTTAATAGTTTGAATGAATCTTAGTAACATTAAGACATTTGGACCTAAACACTGAGATTGGGCATGGGGGACAGATAAATGAAGAGGGGCAGGAATGGAATCAGGAGAAGATTGGTAAGGACTCCAGAGATAGAGCTAAAATTGTTTTAGTGTTCTTTTGGGGAGAATCAGCTGCATCAAGTATAGGCTCACTGTGCCTTTACCCCAGTTAGCAGTCTATACAATGTGCTTTCTTTGCCATTAGTCCCTTGGGGATTCCTGACCTGAGGTATGCATCTGTCTGGAGCTAGGCTCTAGTACCTTGATGAGACTGAGATCACATAGGAATGCTTTTCCTCTCCCTGGGGAGGCTTCCAGCCTGCGATGATTTTGCTCAGCCAAGAACCCAGACATCAGCTTCCCACCTGGCTCATGCTCTGCCACCCTCCTGTAACGTAGATAGGACCACTCAGAATGTACTGAAGGCCCAGTGGAGACCTATGATGGTGGCAGATCCAAGAAGGCCGATTCAGGAGCACAGAGGGCTCAGTATCAAGTGAGCCACGCCCTGGTCCTGAGCTGACCTTGGTGGAGAGCTGCACAGCTGGACCTCTGCCTTGTTCTGAGACCAGATGCAGGGTCATTACCTCAGTTTCCTGCATCTCACACCCTGCCTTCATAACCTACTTGACAGCATAGGTTTCCCAAGACTGAGCCCAACCTTGCTCTCTAGAGTCCTTCTAAGACACAAGGCCTGACTCGATCTTTAGGCCCTAGCTGGGCCCTGCTGTGTCCACCAGACCTTCTAGATGCCGAGCAGCTTTGGGGCTGACAGGGTGCCCAACTGTCATCTGCTTTCTGGATCCTGCCCATGGCTCACCTGCTTACTGAGATGTCCACCCAGGAACTCTGGTTTAGCCTCCCCTGTGCTGGTTAACTGCTGGTCCCTGGGCTCCCAGGGTCTGATGGTCCACCTGCAAGGACTTAATTTCATGCCAAAGGGCCTCATGGGGGTGGTGTGCATGCGCTTGTCTCTAGTTCCCAGATCTGTCTCAGGGACTGCCTGATGCCCATATAAGAGAAAGACTTGCCTTTCCTTACATGAGAGCAAAGCTTCAGTGTTGCCTTCTGCTGGAGAAATTTGTTGCCAGTCTTTTCTAATCTGTGAAATGAGCTTAAGCTGGGTGTTCCCTCTCTTGTAGGCTGGGATACCAGGGGATAAAACTGGCCATACACTCTGTGTTAATACAAGTAAATGTATTCATAGCCTGTTGCCTATTCCTTTAAAGTCTCAGTGGGGAGTAGATATTTATCTTTTAGAAAGAGATTTAGCATGCCTGGGTGGCTCAGTTGGTTAAGCATCCAACTCTTGGTTTTGGCTCAGGTCATGATCTCATGGCTTCATGGGTTCGAGCCCCACATTGGACTCTGTGCTGGCAGTGCAGAACCTGCTTGTGATTCTCTCTCTCCCTCTCTAGCTGCCCTTCCCCCACTTGCGCTGTCTCTGTCTCTCTCAAAATAAAAATGTTAAAGAAAGATTTAATTTTTTAAGGAAAAGGCAGTCATTTGGAGCCAAAACTGGTAAAAAGTTGGTATTTAAAAAAATGTTTATTTTTGAGAGAGAAGGGGTGCAAGCATGCACACGAGTTAGGGAGGGGCAGAGAGAGAGGGGGACAGAGGGTTCAAAGCAGGCTCTGTGCTAACAGCAGACTCCAGTGCAGGGTTTGAACTCATGAACTGCGAGATCACAACCTGACCTGAAGTGGTAAAGTTGGATGCTTAGTTGACTGAGCCACCCAGACACCCAAAAAGTTGGTACCATTCTTAGTGGTGGGTTTAAATGGTGGAAACACTGGTTTCTGTCTTCTTGTTCAATCTTGGTTACCTCATCTACAAAGTTCTGTTAGAGGATAGTTAAGGTCTTTCTCAACTCTGAATAAGCTCTAGAGGGGGAGAGAGATACAGAGACAGAGGTTTACACCAGAAGTGCTTTTCCTGCTCAGTGCCTCCAGTGTTCTGAGTAAGGGGGAGTCATCCCCGTCTGCCACATGACCATTTCAAATTCTAAGTTCAGATGTGTTTTCTAAAAGCCCAGACATACCACTTCATTGTTACATTCCTATCTCAAGACAAGTGAGCAAATGGAAAGGGCTTTGAAATCCTCACAAAGATGTGGTTTATAAAATCAGGGCTGTGCAGAGAAGCATTAGTTAATCAGAACATTATTTGCCACATTCCACTTCT